ATCTGCTAAAGCACCTTGTTTAGCTAACTATCTGCTCTATCATTTTATCTATTATTACTATAACCCTTAACTTTGACTAATTTTAATTAAATCTCTTTAACTTTAACTAATTCTATAATACTTCATACTAGATCATGATTCTTTAGCTTTAACTATTGTTTGTTTGTCAAGATTTTTTTTTTCTTTATACTTGCAATTGTTACTGTACTATCTGTATAAATCCTAACTTCTTTTCTACTCAGTATTGCTAGTATCACTAATCAGATTATTAACAATTCTGATTTAGTTGATGATAGCCAATTTTGTATTTTAGCAAAACCTTTATTAATTATTTTCTGTTTATTTTAATTTGTCTGCAGTACTTTTATTTCCATATAGTTGGAACTTTTTGTCTTGTTTTTGGTTTGATATAATAAACCATCCATATAAAAAATTATCTTGCTTTGTAGAAGTACTTGGTTGTTCTGGTTCTATTTCATTAGATTATCCTTGAACTTAAAAGATATGTCTTGTTTTCAAATTATCTCTGTATTCAAATTGTAGCTTATAACATTTACAACTTTAGACTCTTTTTTTGTAATTCTTGTATTTTTTCTCTGAGGTGAAGTTCAATTATATTTGCTGAAATTTCTAGTCTCTACTTGTTATCTTTTTTTTTAATAAAGGCTAAGAGAAATCTTTAGATTTTTTTTTTATAATAGAGTTTCTTATATCCATTATATGCCTTGTTCTGGTTAAGTATATATTCAGAACATTTCTCTAATATGAGATTACTGTATTGTGTATATCCATTATCTTTCAATATTCTACTAAAATCTTCTTGAAGGTTCTTGAAACTACTTTTAAAATTACTAATTTTGGGTTTTTCTCATTTGCTACTATATTAACAACTATCTATTTCTTGGTTCTATTATTTGAAAATAACCTTGCTAAATAGGCTTTTAAGACCTAGCTATTATTACCTTCTGTTTTGTATTGAGCTTTTACTTGTTTGTCTTGTAAGTTCACTAATATTAATTTCTCAATCTTTTTAAACTATTTCGCTACTTTGTTCTTATTTATTTCCTTTTTAAGAAACTTGAGTTATTGTTATGTTAACAATTGATCTTCACTTTGGTCTAATAACTGATTAATAAAACAAATCAAAACCAGAAAGCTTAAGTACTAATGCAAAGCATTTATTTGAGTCCACTGGAAGTTTTCCAAAAGCCAAGACCAAACTAAGAGTAAAGTCAAGAAAAAAAGAAAAATAAAAAAAAGTAAAAAGAAGAAAAAAAAGAAGAGAAAGAGTACTTGGTTTGAGTCAATTAAAAACTATTATAAATAAATCAAAACTATTTTGGTATGGTTTCACTGGCTAGCTTGGTGCAGCTCTCCAGTATGGGCAAATGCCTCAACTGGTGTAGCAAACCACTCTTGGCACCTCTAAGGGTAGCTGAGAGATGTCAGATCTATAGTTTAGATAGTTTAAATATATGTATATATATGCTTTGATCTAATAAAAGATACTGGTGAGGCTGCCGATAATTGGAAAAAATAAAAAATAAAAAATAATCAAATTTCTTGTTTATGATCAAATAATAAAATTATAACTCGTTTTCCCGATTTCAAGTCACATGAGTGACCCGAGTGAAGAAATTCTAGTATTTTCATTTACGTATATTTATTCTAATAAAATTGCCAACGGGACTGTTACACAACTGTGATTTAATAGATCTTCTATCTCATTCACATTCAGATTTACATTTAACTATCAAGCAAAGTAAAATTAAAGATCATCGATTCCTCTTTTCCTTAAACTTAGTTTAGATATGCTAAAGATAGATATATATTATCGTTATATACAAAACCTTTGCTGATACATATCATGTAACTTCACATGATTGGACTCAAACCAATAAAAATAGACCTAGTCACATGATCTATAATTTACTTATCTCGCTCGTTCATTTAACTAAAGTAATTCACAATGTTCATACATTCGCTTAAACCGAATGATATTAATAGTAAAAAAACTAGTATTAATAATGATGAAAAAGATGATAACATTGGCCAAGTATCAGATTCAAGGTTCACAGGATGGATATCTAGTGTATCTGAAAGCAGTTCGGCCTCACTCAAGTCTCAAGAGACAGAAGCACACCTGACACCTGGACCTTGGACGTTTATTCTGTCGCCAGCAATAAAACATTTGATCGCGGTAGATTTTATTCCAAAGTGACACAAGTAAATTGTATTTTTTGAATGTTTTAATAAAAAAAGTGGATAACAATTACTTTGTTTTTTTTTTTTTTTTTGATCTGTTAATCTAGGGAGGAATTGCGGGAGCCGTAAGCAGAACAGTAGTAAGCCCTTTAGAAAGAATGAAGATACTATTTCAAGTATGTTTGAATAATTTATAGGTATAAATTTTTCAGTAAATATAAGAAATTGAAATCATAATATAATATAGATACAAGGATTAAACGCAGCTTATAATGGAATTATCCCCACATTAGCAAAAATATGGCGTGAGGAAGGGATAATTGGATTTTTAAGGGGAAATGGAACGAACATTATAAGAATTGTTCCTTATAGTGCGACACAATTTGCGGCATATGAAAAATATAAACGAGTAAGTATATAATTAAAAATATTACGATAGAAAGGGATATATATAATATATATATATATATATATATACAATATATATGTATATATATATATATAATTAAATAGTAAGAATTAATGATTAAATGAAACGAATGATTTGATCAAAAGCTTTTATTAGAAGAAGGAAAAACAGAACTAAATGCGCCACGACGTCTTACGGCAGGAGCATTAGCGGGTATAACGTCAGTTGCATGTACATATCCATTAGATATAGTAAGAACAAGACTTTAAGTTCAATCAGCAACATTATCAGGTAAAGAAGGACAGAAAAAATTACCAGGTATCGCGTCAACAATGAGGATAATTTATATTACCGAGGGCGGTATTATGGCATTATATCGTGGCTTGGCACCAACCCTGTTGGTAATATATACAAAGATTAATAATTAAGTTAACGTTAAATAAAAATTTGAATAACCAAAAATCTAAAGCTAATGGTATATATAATTATATATTTAATGAAAAATATAGGGAGTAGCACCGTATGTAGCACTAAATTTCCATTCATATGAGGTATTGCGTAAATATTTCACACCAGTTGATAAGACATCACCACCGGTAGCACAAAAACTGTTATGTGGAGCGTTAGCAGGAACATTTGCACAGACAATAACGTATCCACTGGATGTATTAAGGAGAAGAATGCAAGTAACAGGGATGAAAGAGTTAGAATATAAATATAATAATACGTGGGATGGGCTAACGCAATTGATAAAAAAGGAGGGGATACGAGGATTATATAAAGGGATGGTACCAAATTATTTAAAAGTTGCGCCAGCTATTAGTGTAAGTTTCGTAACATACGAAGCTTGTAAGGATTTTATGGGAGATTATTGAATATGATAGAAAATTGAAAAGATTAATTAAAAAATGAGATAGATGATTGTAATTATTATTATTTTTTTTTTTTAAAAAAAAAAAGAGGAAAAAAAATTTTTTTTTAATAATTGGACACTTCGAAAATTTTCTATTATAGGAATTTTTATAAAATTTGTATTTATGTTTATAAAAAAAAAACTTTTTCACTTTACTATACCATACCATAATCAAAATCACATGAACTAAATAACATGGACTACGTGACAAGACACCGGTGTCTATTTATTTACAGATTGTGGAAAAAATGAATATAGAATTGTATTACAAAGAGATGTGTAAACTAAAAATTTTTCTTTTCTTTTTCTTTTCCGGTAATAGTAATTATTCATTATATTGACCAATAATACAATGTTCACATTTGCAATTTTTAAAAATCAAAGAATCTTCAGGGTCAAATGTATGTACCATAGGGGGATTTCTACTGAACTTAGGATGTGTTAAATGAACAAGTTTTCGAGGTTTAATGGCAGTAGTAGTAGTTTGACTATTTTTTGAAGAAATGCTTTTTGCACTATCTTTGGATGCTATTCTTTTATGACGTTGTTTTATATTCATATTTAATAAACAATTTTGCTTCCCAGTAGAGTACATTTCACTTGGAGAAGATGGTGGAGTTATTGGAGTAATTGGAGGTGAAAACTCATCAGCATTAGAAGATTGTTTATCATCTGAAGTTTTTGATTGAGATATAGGTAGATCCACAGTCTTTAATTGAGGACGTTGATGATCTTTACTTTCAGGATCTTGAGTAGACAAGTTCATGTTATTATCAACACAATTACTATCAAATTTTTCTAAAACTTCAGTAATTCTTCGACGTTGTATGTTATCAGAAATATAAACTTTATTATTATGTTGCATTACATCAACCCATTCATTATCATAATTATTATTATCATTATCATAAGGAGAAATTTCCAAACGACCTTTATTTCTTATTTCGTTCATCCAACGATATTCAAGTTCGATTTGTGTTTTATCGGCAAAGGTTTGATAAAATATGCAATCTTTATCTTTATCTGTCCAAAGTCCTTTATTTTCATTATTCTCGATACGATTACTATTTTTGTGACCAAAACTTATACCAGGGTCAGAAACCAAGTATCCGTATTTGGTCAAAGTGTTATCGGCATTTTTCTTATATTTATAATAGAATATTTCACTAAACTCCGGTCGCCTATATTCTATTATGTATCCAAACTTGTTACTAGGTAGTGGTGTATAAATGTAAACACATTTTCGAGCTTTTCGTTTATATTTTCTGGCTCGAATAAAACTATTGATCTTTCGAAGACCGTTCATTTTTTGATTAAAATAAATAAAATTGTTGGCGATTTTTTTTGATCTGAAAAGAAAATGAAATGATGTTATATATATAGGCAAAAAAATGATATACGCCAAGAAATAAATGCTATTTTTGTCTTTGAAACAAAGATGATTGCCTATTATGTTTCATCTGTGTAAAAAATTGATTATTTTATTGTTGCGTACATACATATGTGAGATATCGATATCATGCAAACAATGAAAACAACTGGTCACACGAACGTAATTTAGCATTCAAGGGATTATCAATTACCGTTAGCGTTAATTATTTGTGGATACGCTTATTTCACAATATATGTATAAAAAACAAAATAATATCGTTATTATTTGATAATGCATATTTAAAAAAAGAGGAAATCATGCATTAAACGAAATATTGCTTCTATATTAAATGCGAACGAAACTGCTATGAGAATCTTTAGCGCATTTAATTAAAACAAAACAATACCCTGAATTTTTTTTTTTTTTTTTTTTTTTTTTACAATGCATCACAATCTTTTTCTAATAATAATGAAGACAATTTCCCCCAAATTTAAACTAAATTAATTACCCCAGAATTAAGAATAATTTCTATAAATAGATGAAAGAGCTAAGCCCAAATTCAATGAAATCTTGTGTTGCAAACTTAAGTCTATATTTAAATATCTAACGGTAACAAATGAGATTAACTAGATAGTAATATGACTTTCTTGTCAGATGATGTTGCATCATTTTTGCATTTCACATGACCTACTTCAATTAAACTCAATAAAAATCGATGGCTAATTTGGTTTCCAAAATCATCTTTTTCTCAAGCCCCTCTTTCGAGAGGCCTTCTTTTTTTAAAGCGTCCCCTCACTGTCCCCACCCCAAAGAAACCACCCCACTACTGACAAGCATATTAAAAATGAATTTGACCCAACTTTTTGAGAGGTATGGCATCCCTTTTATACTTTGCGTCTGAGAATGAAGGCTTATTCTGCAAAGAAACGGCCTGTACATCTAGAGGCTTGTCGAATGTGTTTTGACATTCTCTCTCAATACATATACTCTGAAACTATACCTTTTTCTTAATAAATTACTCAAAAGTTATTTTATATTCTTGTTTATTCAGTATCTTCTTGAATGCTCAAGAAGCTAAAGAACAATTTGAGCGTGGTGTTGAAAGTGAGGCTTTTAATCGCCTTGAAGACATATCTAAAACAATAAATCTTTTAAAAGACTTTAAATCTAAATATGCTGAGTTGGTGCGTGTCTTGATCGTTTTTTTTCCGTTTATGTAATTATGTAATATAGGATAAGGAGTTAAAGGATTTTCTTTTTTTCAATAATTAGAACATTAGGGTAGATATTATGATGATTTGTTATAAAAAAAAAAAAATTTCTTATAGATTAACTATAAAATGTTCCTTTATAAAAGCAACTTACACCGACAATTACTACTCCACAACCACCACCACCGCCTTCTGTTCCTGTAACCGTGGAACCATTGGTACCTGCCGTCAAGTCTGTCAAGGTATTGAATTTGTAATGGTCAAAACCGATTGACCTAAGCTTACGTTGTTAACTTTATTTCCATTGATTTTCCCATATGTATTAGCGTACTATGCCAGGAAAATATGAAAAACCAAAAAAAGCTGTCAAAACTAACGTGGAGGATACACCTACTATCACTAGCGAAGTATATTCGGTGAATGTTCGTGAGCTACCGAATGATCCCTATACATCTCAGGTATTTCTTGTTTCATTGTAACTTCTAAATTGATAATTTCGATATTAATGATTCTTAATGATTCTTAATTATGTTGTCTAGCCTCCTCCACCAGTTTATGCACCTGCTGGTGTGCTTCCCAGTGCTCCTCGCACTCATACACATGCTCCGTTGGATCCTGTTCTTTTGAAACATCTTGATGATATTTTTATTAATTTCTTACAAACTATTTGCTCAGACCGTAAATATCATTCATTTATTTGTGTTATTACCGTTAAAATAATATTATTAATCTTTTATGTTATATAGTGAATGCGACTGATTCTAAAGGTGAACAAATGTATGTACGACTTATTCATATCAATTTGATTAATTTAAATTAATTTTAATATGTTGTTAATGATTTTAAATACATACTTGTTTCATAGTCATCAAACTTTGATGGCCAAAAAAATGCAAAAATTGGATGAGTCGCCCGATTTTCGTCCATTTAAATTTCGTATACAAGCTTTCACTAATGCTTTTCACGAAGAATTACTTCGTCATGGATATACCGAAGAGATCTTGCCATTGAGAAAAGTTAAGAATTATTTGTGGACACAAAGGTATGTTTATATTTTATATTCTAAATTATGTATATTAATTTTCTTACCTAACGAAATTCTATCGTTTTACAGATACATTTCTCGATTTAACGAAGATGGTAAAAAAGCAAAATCCAAGGGAAATCACGTATGGAATATTGAAGCAAAAAAGACACCAACTGGTGGTTGGATATTCCGTGAATTTACTCGCAAAATTGCTGGAATTCCGGATAAAATTGCTTACGTCGGCGTAAAATACACTTATGCTCCTAGAGTCTGGGATCCACAAGTGAATGTTAAATGTAAGAATTCTATTAATATATTTGTTTTTATGTAAATTAAATTTAATTTAAATTTTATTTTTATATCCTATTTTATAGCCATTAAAGCTGTATTTCATTCTCCGTGGTTACCAGATTGGCTCAGATGGGAGAATAATGTTCTTACTGGTACTCCAGGAATAGATGCTGAAAATTGTGAAATAACTGCAATTGCCAATTATTATCACGGTGATACCGTCTATAAACTAGAGAAATCCTTTTATATTACTATTGCACACATGGATTCATCCGATCAATTAAATTTAAACTCGGTGGTAAGTGCTTATTTATTTACTTAATTTATAAACTTGTCGTTATTTCACTTTATTTTCACTTTTATAAACAGGCAATGGCCGATTATCAGCTACAATCTCACCTTGGCTAATTACCGATTTTTTTTGGTATTTAGAGAAAGTATTTTCCTATAAAGTATGTTTATTAAAAAAAAGCTGTAGATATTGTTAAAAGATGATTACATTTTCGTCATTTCTTTCAACTTTTGTTATAAAGCTTCGTTTGATTGAAGCTTTTTTTTTTTTTTTTCTTGTATGGTTTATATTTAACATAAAAAAAAAACAAAAAAAACTCTATTAAACAGTGTCATAGAGATCAATTTTGGTCTTGGTTTCTGCTGTATAATATTTGTATTAATAAAATTGGCTGTTCTTTTTTTTTTTTTTTCTTTTTTAGTAATAATAAAAAAAAAAAATTATGTCGCATTATTCATAGTACATGTGTGTGTTGTTAATTAAATTATACTTTGATTGGAAAGATTTACAATAATATGTAAAGTTTTTAATTAAATTGCATAATGACCGACAGATCTTAATTAATTAACCTATAAGCAACTTAAAATTTATTTAAATTTAACCAATTAATTATAGAAGATTCTATTTATATATTAAATAAAACCTAATGTTCCGACAAAAATAAATGAAATCTAAGAATAATTAATAAAATGTATCACATATCTCAGTTTTGTTCCTTCTCAAAAATTTCCAAACATTCTTCCAAAATTGCTACACCCTTCTCTGCCTCTCCTTTTGTCAATATTAACGGAGGTATAATTCTGATGGTATCATTTCCAGCAGTAATAATTAATAAGCCTCGTTCTCTAGCCAACTTAACCATCTCACTCGGATTTTTAGTACATTGTATTCCAAGTATAAGTCCTCGTCCACGTATAGTTGTTATAAGCGATGGGTATTTAGTCGCTAACCTTTCAAATGATGATTTTAAATAGGATCCGACATTATTAACATTTGTCAATAATTCGGGTGTGTTTATACGTGAAACTACTGAAAGAGCTGCTCGGCATGCTAGTGGATTACCACCAAAAGTAGTACCGTGATCACCTGAAAATGAATAGGTTATTAACTAATGAAATAGCTAAAATTAATTATTGGTTATAAAAAAAAATTTGTGTT